GGGGCCGAGGGAGCCGAGAGCCCCAAGTAGCCGAGGGGGAAGCCGGCAGAGCTGCAGGGAAAGGCTGAGGACAAAGGCAGGGGGGAGCAGCCGCGGGGCCTCCCCAGGGAGGAAGGGCAGAGACCCGCACCCGCCGCCAGCCCCCCGCTTTCCCCGGGCTTGCGGGCTGCGGTCCGGGTCCCCCAGACATCCAGGCTCGGGCCGGGGGGAGCCCGGCGTCCCAGCGCCGCCAGCCCGCGCTGGCTCCATGCAGCAGCCACAGAGAGCGCCGCTTACCTCCCTTGCTTGGTGATGATCATCTCTGTCTGGTGCCGGTGAAATTTCAGCCAGAGTGGCCTGTTGCACAGGTAGACCTGCGCCTTGCCGGGCACCAGCCCCGGCTGGGTGGAGGAGAACTGGTAGAAAGGCGCGCCTTGGTAGGAATGGCCATACTGCTGGGGGTAGGGGTAGCCCGCCGTTGGGTAACCTTGCGGAGAAGAGTTGGACAGGAGGCTGTTGTAAGCTCCGTTGGTGATCACAGGATGGTGAGCCATGTAGCGGCTGGGGCTGGCGATAGAAAAGGCTGGGTGAGCGGGTCCATGCTGGCTGGGGTAAGGGAACATGGTACTAGGAGCAGAGGCAGCGGACTGGGGCTGGCTGGACTGAGAGAGCAGATAGCGATCTGCAGCAGATCCATCGAAACTGTGACGAAGCTCAGAGACCCCGTCCAAGACGGGAGAGAGTTTATTTCTCTGGACGTCCCCTGGTGTGTCCTTGGAGTCAGGAAAATTGTCTGTATCTGACTGATTCGTCATCCCCCTGGTAATTTTTTTCAAAGGTGAACTTCTCTCCAGGTTGTCAGTGGTCGAGATAATGGGATGATCATGCAAGGCAAGCTCAGATCCGCCTGCATGTGGGTAACTGCTGCTCACATTGAGAAATTTCTTGGAGAGCATGATAGAGGGAGAAAGACAATGCTCCAGCTGCATAGCTCTAGCACCACAAGAATAACCCTTCAGTCCCTGGATCTGAAAGGGCTCCTTAACACTAGAAACTAGACATTGCGGGACCCTCGCTAAGCAGAAAGCACTTCTTCCACCAAATGCTTCCCAAACGTTTGATTTACTTTTTTTTTTTTCCCTGGGAGAAGAGATTGGCCAATTGACACTATGCAGCAATCAGGAAAGACTCACTTTTGATCTTGCTGCTTGTGGAGCGGATGAAACAGCTCCTGCCATTGGTTAACTGCTGACAGTAATTTAATTAGATAGACATTAATTAGGATAATCACCTGGCTCCTGGTCGCGACGATCATGGCAAATTGAAGGAGATGATTTTGTGAGATAGAAGGGAGCTGGGGGGAGCGCGTGTGTTTGCTGGGAGTGCTCATTATTGTGTGACCTCCCGAGCTTTGTGACTGTGGATGGAAAAGAAATCAAAAGACGATTTCTGCGATCTCCTAAATGTTGTTCTCTCCCTCACGAGAAGGGGAGAGCTTAGAGGCTGGAGGTTTGGGGTGCAGCCAAGGTGGCAGCATTCACTCGGACTGCAAGGACGGCGCGGGGCAGAGCTCGCGAGCCGGAAGCCGGTGGCCTGCTTTCACCTTAGCCTCGCGCAGTGTCTCTTTCCCGGCTAATACGAAGTGCGCAATAGCTGCGTGGACTCTTTTATAAGATCTCCCCGCCGCCCCCCGCACGAGCTGCTTCCCGGGGAGAAAAGAAAGCTCCCTCCCCGCGACGGCTGCCGCCGGCCCCGGGCGCGGCGCGGAGCGGCGCCTCTCCCCAGCTCGGAGCTACGTGAGCCGGGGGCAGAGGGCCCTAATGCACCGGCCGTGCTGGTCACGGCCGCTTTGGTGCATCAATATTTCATGTGTGCGCTGTAATGCGGACGATGATCGCGCCAGGCAGGCATCCTTCTCCACATTGCCTTCCACTCGCTGTCTCTTTTCTTGCAGTGACTCAGGCGCGGAGAGATCTTTTGTAAGAGATTTGTCATAGAAGCGATCACCCCGGTTCGCAAACGAAGCGAGAGCTGTCGCCAGGGGCCGGAGCCCGCCGAAGGGCTGTGCTGGCACGGCGAGCACCGGGGCCACGGGCAGCGCCCCCGGCTGCCGAGCGAGGCGCCCCCGCAGGCAGCG